AGGTTCTCCCATTTGTGCCTTTGCCCATTCAAATCCTGCTCATCCTTCAATGCTTTTCTCAAGTTATATTCTCCTTCCTGAAACTTCCCTGTCTTTCTAGCCATTTAGCAGGTCATACCAGCAAACATTCATGTTATTGGCTTTCAAAGACCCTGACATAAAAATTTACCCATGAATTTAATATTTAAGATCACAGAACCCCTGGGTGGTGCAAATGTTCAATGTGCTCAGCTGCTAACAGAAAGGCTGGCAGTTAGAGTTCACCAAGAAGCACCCTGAAAAAAAGGTCTGGTGATATACTTGTGAAAAACTAACCACTGAAAACCCTTAGGGGAACAGCTCCACACATGGGGTCACTATGAGTCAGAAATGACTCAAAGGCAACTGGTAGTAACATCCCATCATCTTAAGAAATCATGATCTTTTGATGCTGTAGTTCATTCCAGTTTGGTCGCCCTGACATTCTTTGATTCTAACATTCTATGCTGACTGACTCCAAGATTACAAGACTCAGGGGTCAATCCTGTCTTCATTGCTGAATCTTTTCTAACATCCTCCACATCTGATCAAATATTTCACAAACTTCATTGAATTAGATGTAAAGGATTATACATATGCTGGAGTCCCTGGGTGGAGCAAACAGTTAAGCACTTGGCTGTGGACAGAAGGGGTGGCAATTCGAATCCACCCAGAGATGCTTCAGAAGAAAGATCTGGCAATCTACTTCCGAAAAACCAGCACTGAAAACTCTGTGCAACACAGTTCTACTCGGACACATATGGAGTCACCACAAGTTGGAACTGACTCAATGGCAACTTTTTTTTTTGGTTCATGTGGGAGCAAATGGTGAAGTCACAATAGGGACTTACAGAGCACAGAGATCCCTGGGGAATGTGCACTCATTAGAGAGGGCAGTCCACAGTGGGAAGCTTGGAGGGCAGGAAGATCTCAGAGCAAGGAGGGACAGAGGGTATTTAATGTACCTCTCGGCTGCGAACTGAAAGGTTAGCAACTGAAACCCAACCAGCAGCTCGGTGAGAAAAAGACCTGGCAATCTGCTCTTGTAAACATCACAGCCTAGAAAACCCTATGGGGCACTTCTACTCTGTCCCATGGGGTTACCATGAGTTGAAATCGACTCGATAGCACACAACCAACAACTGGGAGGTTTAGGCAAGTGGGACCAACTTTTCAATACCGATACTGTTGCCTCCTCAAAACCACCATGCAAGGTAGAGTCAATAACCCAATTTCATAAATGAGAACACTGAGACTCAGCAGGGCAAAGAAATGGATCAAAAGTACCACAGCTAGAAAATAGAGAAGCTGAGATTAGAAAGAGGAGAAGCTGAAATTCCAACTTGCATCCGTCTCCACAATAGAACGTGTGCTTTGGACACACCATCTCTCTCAGGCTTTTAGAAATGTTGAAACCAGCTCATGGAAAAGCCATCACCATCAGATGGTTCTAGGGCTCTGGGAACAGAAAGCTGGGATCCACTGCAGGCCATTACGATAGCCCAGATATTTTCTAAGCAAAACTTCTAGTACATTTACTTAATGACTATTTTGGAGTTAGAAAAACCAGGAAATTCCATTAAAAGAAAGGAGCACGGATAATCATACACTCCTTCCACACCTCAGGGTCATTCATACATGTATTATACATTCCTAGAGCTCTGTGTCATGCCTACTTCCACTTCCCAGGCCCTGGGCAGGCTCCTGGTAGTACAAGGACCCCAGGAAGCTCAGAGGGTAAAGGGGAAGAAAAATAATTCCAACACTGTGCGGTGCGTGCTACGCATAGTGGAATGATAGGGTACGGGGCACAAAGGCAGGATGATCTGTGGACACTGGAGCAGAAGTCTGGAAAGTCTTCCCTGAGAACACAAGGCTTGAAGCTAAACTAGGATGTTGGGAGTGGACTGCAGAGACATGGGGGAGAGCGTGAATCCTTCAAGAAACTGCAGAGCTCAACAGGGGTGGGCCACAAAGAGGCAGTTAGAGGCACAGACTGAGGCTAGGGCCTGGGTGCTGCATATGTCAGCCCAAGGAGCTTGGGTTTTTTTTTCAAGGTGCTATTAAGCATGGAGA